GAGCAGGCGATGGCGCGGGAACCGACCAGCGGAAGCCGCCGATTTAAAGGCTTTGGCTGTTCTTAGCAAGTTGCTAAGTCCCAACTACCAGACGATGATACGCGAGGCTACCTCGGCGTTGGAAGCGTGGGAGACGCTGCGGGATTTCTTTGTCCGACAGAATCTCCACAATCGAGCCCAGCTTCGCAGACAGCTCCACGACTTCCGCATGTCCACGGGGGACAATCTCATGGAGCCCCTGATGAGGTCTGATGATCTTTGTTTGCGTCTCAGCGCTGCTGGAGACAAGATCGAGAGGACGAAAAGTTAGTTGTGCTACTCGGCAGTCTGTCCGCTGAGTATGACAACATGGTGAAGATTATTGAGTCCAAGGGTTCGGTTTCACTCTTGGAGGCTAAAGAGATGCTACGCCGCGAATATGAGTCGCTGCAGCGACGCGAGAAGCAAGAAAGTGCCTTTCGAGCTGGTACCAGTGGTACGAAGGGCCAGCAGAGACAACGACGACGTGACGACCGCAGAGCGAGTGGCGGCCGTGGGAACCAAGATCGACAGAATAACCGGCACGGAGGCCGGAACTCGTAGTCTGGGAAGAGGCAACGGAGTGACCACGGGTTCAAGGGCCGATGCTTCGAGTGTGACGAGATCGGTCACAGGCGCAATGATTGCCTCAAGCTAAAGTAAGATGATGACGATAATGAAGTTGTGTTCTCTGCGTCAGCCACTACTTGGAGAAGTGAGTGGCTTCTGGACAGTGGGGCCAGTTCGCACATGACAAACACAATGGTGGAGTTCTGCGAGTACAGGGGCTTAAACGGGAATTTGAACATTACGGTAGCGAGCGGACAGTCGCTTCCTGCTCAAGGAGTCGGTGCAGTGCGTTTCCGTGTAAATGGGCGTTTGATCAAGATTACGGATGTTTTGTATGTCCCTGGATTAGATCGCAAGTTATTATCAATTCGAGCTCTCGCCGCAGAACCGTTTAGTGCAAGCGGATGTACGATCAGATTCGGCGGGGGAACATTGGCTTGTCGAAGATTGGTAAGCTCTACGCGTGGGATGTTCAAGTTCAGCATGCTGCTGGATATGAAGAGACGGCCACAGCAATGATGACAAGACCTGCGGACGCAGTCTTGTGGCACGCGCGGCTCGGGCACGTGGACCAGCAGCTACTGGACGCTATTTTGAAGGCCGTCGAAGGTGTTTCTGCTCTCCTCCAGGACAATCGCGGGCTTTGTGATGGATGTGCACAAGGGAAGATGACGGTGAGTCCATTTGCAAGACAAAGTTCCAGCCGAGTGAAGACCCAAGCCCCTCTTGAGGTTATTAACAGCGACGTAATGGGGCCAATGCAGACGCGGACAAAAGGGGGGGGCGCGGTTTGTTGTAACTTTTGTCAATGATTTCTCTTGGTATGTGCACGTGTATCTCCTCAAGTCCAAGGCGGAGGTGATGAAACAATTCGTCCGTTTCAAACAATTGGCTGAGACACAGCTTCAGCGGAAGGTCAAGTGCATCCGGACGGATAACGGAGGGGAGTACACGTCCAAACAGTTTACAAGCTTCTGCTTCAACCAAGGGATTGTGCACCTGACAACAGCACCCTATAGTACTCAACAGAATGGACTAGCGGA